CTTGCATGCATGTTCTACTTGTACACCTTATTATTCTCATTGTAAAATTCCTTGCCTTTCAATCTTAATTCAAGTGAAATTTATATCTAGAGCACGACAAGCTGCATCAAGCAATTATCATGAATTATTTGCAAGCAAGTAGATGTAGTATGATATTGTGGGTACTCGAGCATTAATTAATCGCCATGCTCCAATTAAACAACCACTTGGTTTTTTTTTTTGAGACAAACAACCACTTGGTAGGAGTAGTACTATAGTCCAACGGGTTAATAGGATATAATATGGTTGGTGTATAGTCAGAGGCAGCTAGCTAGTACGACTAACGGAACCTGCATGCATCTGGACCAATCTATAAACAACCGAGGTGATAAACTTAGTTCGTCGGGCAATGTTCGATGCCAGTGGTACTCCATATATATCTGTGATGGGCCAAGTGTTTTTATGGCTTCAATCAACATTTTTCTTACTATCATACCACTACTGGAATAGCCTTATATGCCTACGGCCTTATCTATGCCGACGGCTGCCGTAGGCATAGTAAGGCCGTAGGCATATATCGATCTATGCCTACGGCAGCCATAGGCATAGAGGTGGCCCTCATGGCCCAGGGACAGATGGCGGACTGACGCCGTCAAATCTATGCCGACGGCTCTGACGGCGGCCATTGGCATATACATCATCTGTGTGTTTTATTAGGAGCTGCCACGTGGCAGAGCTATGCCGACGACAAAGCCGTAGGCATAATTTTCCATCTATGCCTACGACAAGGCCGTAGGCATAGCCTCGCCACGTGGCGCCTCAAGGTAGCCCCTGGCCGAGAACTATGCCTACGTAGGCATAGATATCATCAGTTTTTTCTAAAAATTATTTTTTATGTTTTTAAAAGTTAAAATTTGAATAATTGAAATCTAACTTATCTAAACTTAAACATACACAAATTATACATCGACTTGTGGTAGAATTTTTCATAGATTATGAATATACAGTTTGTTTTTGTTTTTGAGTATGTTCGAAATGTGACCTCATGTACTTTTGCATATAGGTCCTTATATTTTGTTAAAATCATAAGTAATTGATACTTGGATCGATTTTGACAAATTTTATATGGTTTTTTATCAGAATCTGGAAAGGATTATGTTGCTATACTATTTTTCAAATTTGAACAAACTTTTGTTTGCTTCAAATTTACAGAAAACACCCTTTTGTTTTGAATTTTTTGTATATTTTTCATACCTTGGCCAATCGAGACAAATTTTATATCTACATCCATCAGATTGTTTCAAGGATTGTGGTGGCAGGCGCAAACACCCGGCAACCGGCTCCGGAGTGTGACTCCTTCATGGACGGCGATGCCGTCGACACTTGGAGGGGGAAAAGGGCCACGTTGGGTCGACACGGAGGGAATCTTATGGTGGGTTTGGCCCAAAGCTTGTTCTCAAGTGTTCCTATGGGCTGACCTATCATAACCAGGTGAAAACGTCTGTTGGTCAAATCCCGTCTGACGAAATTCAAAGGCGTAGATCTCCGGGTAAACTGGTCCAGGGTTAGGCCGGTTGGAGGCCTTCGGGGGGTAGAAATGCCACCAACTAACAAACGTGTGCGGCATCGACTACAACCTCCTCTCCGGTGAGTCCATCTCCTACCTCTAGCTCCCTCTCTTGTGCTCTATAGTAGTACCTTGCTCTGTTTCATGCGCACGGGTGATTATGTTTGTGCTTGTCGTGCTTGTGCCATGGGAAAGATCATTCCTATTTATAGTGATGATGATTCAGAGTAGCACACTTGTTAAATTCTGCTCTTGTACTACCTCATTTGTGGTTGTTGGTTACTGCAGCTAGGCTTTGTTAACTGTTGGTGTTTAATCTAGCTAGCTAGTAGTGTTGGCAGCTAGCTAGTAGTGTTGGCAGCAAGCTACTCCTGTACTAGTAGTTCATCCATATGTGTAATTGATCCTTCTTGGTAATTGAATAATGTGAAGAAATCCTATTGTAACAGCTATGCAGTGCGAACATTAGATCATTTACAATGGAAATCTTTGTTTGCCTCCTGGTAGAAGTATTTCTTGTAACATTTTGGTGATTTCCTTTTGGTAGATGCAGTGTATATATTACATATTCATCCTTATGTGTAGGATCTTTGGTTCTTTATACTGACTGCATGCCACCTCTGTCATCGCCGCCCCATCTCCCCAACCATCGGCACCGCCCCTCCGCCTTCTCCTTTGATGTTGTAATGGATTCTTAGAATGAAAATGTTGTGTACATCAAAAATATTTTATGGTCTATGTTTGCAAATCCATGGTTGTTGAATCATGTCTGCATAATTGTATTGGAAATTGCTAGCCTTTTTGGCTAGTATCTTTTTTGGTTTTGGTTCGTAGGTATGCCTACGGTTAAACCATCGGCATAGTTCTAGCTTATGCCGGCGGCCTAATAGTCGGCATATCCGTGCACAGGAAGATGCCAGGAGCTGCCACGTGGCACCTATGGCAGAGATATGCACAGGGCTTCCCAGGGCCTGCCACGTGGCAGAGACATAAGGGAAATCTATGCCCACGGTTTTTGCCGTAGGCATATCCCTGCTGCCAGGAGTCACCAGAGGCGGCCACGTGGCAGAGGTATGCCGACGGTAAAGCCGTCGGCATAGATTTTCGCCTATGCCGACGGCTTTGCCGTAGGCATACCTCTGCCACGCGGCGGCCCGTGATTCATCATCCCTTTTGACGGCATCGTTCGTTGCCGTTAGGTGAAAAGCACTGCTGACGACTAAACTATGCCAACGGCCAGAGGAAAGCCGTCGGCATAGGCCCCTATGCCGACGGCTAGACTATGCCGACGGTCTGACAAGACTACGCTGACGTGATCTATGCCGACGGGGCTATGCCGACGACAACCGTAGGCATAGATTTATGCCGACGGGAAATGGAAGGCCTGGGGAGGCGGCCAGTGTCATCGTTGTTGGGGTGATCTATGCATGCTTGCCGCCGTTGGTAGTGGATGGGGGCGGGCCTGGGGAGGCGGCCAGTGTCATCGTCGGTTGCGGTGGGACGAGAACTGGCGAGCAACAGCTCTAGGACGGAAACCGAGTGCGTAAAAGGACCCCCATTTCCCGTGCTAGGCCTGAAGGAAGCATCTCCAAGGGCCATGAAAATGAGGAGTTCATTGAGTTTTGTGTTGACTTTATTCCTAACCTTAAGCCGATTGGTGTTACTGAATCGCGGCATAAGGGCAGACTGGGTGGAAATGTCACGCTAGGACCGGATCAAATAATATGTATGGACGAGCATTCTCTCACTGAAGCACACTACACAGTTCTACAAAACTCCACATTGGTGGCTCCGTATATGGAGGGACACAAGAATATTCTAAGCTCCAAATACCCGGAGCAGTATTAAGACTGGATTACACGTCAATAAACGAGGACTTTCGCCGGTTGGTTGCAGACATGTGCCATGCATGATGCCGCTATTGAAGATGACATGTACCTGTTGTCCCAGTTACCATATTCGAATATAATGACTTTCAAAGGGTATGAGATAAATGGGAATACATTTTACACGATCGCCCAAGATAAAAAGAGCACCAACCAAAATAGTGGTGTCCGCTTTGATGCAGCAACCAGTAGGGGAAATGACACATATTATGGTTACACAGAGGAGATATGGGAACTTGACTATGGATGTGGTTTGAAGGTCCCTTTGTTTCGGTGCAAATGGGTCAATATGACAGGAGGCGGCGTAAAAGAAGACCCGCAATACGGAATGACAACAGTGGATCTCAACAATCTTGCGTACGCAGACGAACCATTCATCCTAGCCAATGATGTGGCACAGTTTTTCTACGTGAAGGACATGTCTACCAAGCCAAGAAAAAGAAAAGATAAGGAAGCGGATACATCATAGGATGATGCAAAGCGCCACATAGTTCTTTCAGGAAAAAGAAACCTCGCGGGAGTGGATGACAATACAGAAATGTCAGAAGATTATGAAAAGTTTCATGAAATTGCTCCCTTCGCAGTGAATATTGACCCGATCATCCAGTTAAATGATGAAGAGTCCATGGTTACGGCGCAAAGAGACACACGCGTAGAAAAAGTTTCACACCCAAAGACAGTAGCTAATCTTTGTAATAGTTAGGATGCTTATGTGTTTTGCATTTGAAACTTGTACTTTTGTGCTTCGCACAAACGTGTACCTTTCTGATTTCATTTTCTAATTTTCAGCTTATTTACTGATTTTTTAGCTAAATAATCATGAAATTGAAAAGTACTACAAATGAACCCTCAAAATGGTTGAAAGTTGGCATGGTATCAACATTTCACCCATATAGCATGTGCAAAAAAGTTTACAGGATTACGGAAAAAACTAGATGCACTTCGTGTACAAAATGGACAATCTCTTTTCAAGTATCAGGGTTCTGGACGAAAACTCATCTGTTACAAAAGCAATTCATTTTTTTTCAAACTTATTACAACTCCAAACTTTTTGTGCGTTCAGTATGCACCATTCAAACCCACATCATCAACGTGCAATCTTTCTGACATCATTTGTTATTTTTCATGCATTTACTGATTTTTTTTGAGCTAAATGACCCTGAAATTGAAAAGCACTACAAATGAACTCTGGAAAGGTTGAAAGTTGGCATGGTATCATCATTTCACCCATATAGCATGTGCAAAAAATTAGAGAGGGTTACGGCAAAAACAGGATCCATTTCATGTACAAAATGGACAATCTCTTTCGAAGTATCAGGGTATCGGACGAAAACTCATCTGTTACAATGGCATTTCATTTTTTTTAAACTTATTTCAACTTCAGACTTTTTTCACGGACGGTAATACTAGAGAAAAATCTAAAGCTTCTTAGCCGACACACATCCCCCACAGTCATAAAGTCGATGCATTGTGAATATTATGGCTGGAGCGAAAACAAATGTGGTTGCTCAAGCAAGCCGATGTCGAGGTAGCCGAGAGCGTAGGGCGGTGTAGCCGTGGTAGAGGTCTTGAGCAATGCTATCACCAAAATGGGCCATCTTGTTCATCTCGAAATTAACACTAGAGCTGAGGATGAGGTGCTGCGGCTGGAAGAGCTATATTTACCTCCAACCCTTTCTTGGCTTACTTTAGCAGGGCAGCTAGAAAAAACATTGATGCCTCAGTTTTTCTCTTCTTGGTCACACCTTAATAGCCTCACTCGGTTGCACCTGGCATTCTCCAATATTGATGAGGGAACCTTTTCCTGTCTGTTCGTGTTACATGGTCTACGCTCTTTTGGTCTAGCGAAGGCTTTTGAAGGGAAGAGGTTGGATTTTACCGCAGGGTCATTTCCAAAACTTCGGTTTCTAGGCATAGGGGGCGCAACACAGCTCAACCAAGTTGGAATAGAGGAGGGCGCGATGCAAGACCTTGTCGAGCTATTGTTCATAGACTGCCCTGAGCTAAAGTTTCTTCCTGACGGCATCAAACACCTTGCAGCCCTTGAGAAATTGGCCTTGAGAGACACGTCAGAAGAGCTGATAGAGAAACTCCGGCATAATAGTGATTCAGATGAATGTAGCGAAGATTTAATGAAGATTAGCCACATAAGGAATATTACAGTTGAACTGACACAGAAAGGACTTGTAGAAAGGATCAAGTGATGTATCATTGCTGCTCCAAGGTTAGGATTTGCTGTTTCATTCTTCGTGCATATATTTTATACCGGCAGAGTTAAATTAGCAATCGGTAGTTACTGGCTGACGCTAATTTTCTAGCAGTTTGTAAATTAATTTAATTAACATGATTCCTTTGTCCATGTTGATGTCTATCTTCTTCACATAGGGTAAAAACTACATTGCCTGTAACTGCTAGGACCGGTCATAGACAAAAATAAGTAACTGATCATGCAGTTTCCATTTCCCTTGTATTAATATATGTTATGTGTGCTTTCCACTATCCAGGGTTAGACAAGTTTTTT